GCAATTTTTTTTTCTCAGACAGTTGCATTTTTTGAAACATGTGGTCACCTTTTTCGAAAATTGAAAGATTTAAACGATTAAACAAACTTAATAATGTGAGGGATTTTTTTTTTGAAGCATTTCCCAAATACAGGAAATTCGTTTTAGAAAAGAAGAAGAGAATTTAAGAAGTAAACATGAAATAAAGTAATTTTCAAAATACAATGAAACATTCATAAAAATTCTCAATTTGTTTCAAATGTAATAAAATGTGAGAGGAAAAAAAATAACGGTCTATACTGAATAATTTTTAATCTTCTTAATGATCTGATCTTCACGTTCTAGAACTCTATCTTAATGTTTCGATTGGGTGACCTCAGACATGCTAATTAATTACTGCAGACGATATTTTAAGTTACCAATCGACGTCTCTGAATAAACATGCCCTTTTTTGCGACGAATTCTGATTTCTGACCCCAAAATATATTGGCAATCTGGGAAATACGGACCCCATAGTTTGGTCAGGAGAATGGTCCACAGTTTGGACCCCTTTATGTCAATTTTACTTTTTGCTTATTTCGCCATATCTTGAGAACTTTTCTAGCGAAGTGAAATCGTTTTTGCACACAATAATAAAATTCGATTATCCAAAGATAATTCAACGCCAAAAATAAATTTTAATAAATATTTATTATTTTATTTAATAGTAAATTTTGAATAATAAAGTATTCAGTTTTTTACGTTATTTTAAAGTATGTAATTTTACATGGCAAAATGCAAATTTTAGCGAAATTAGTTCCTCAGAAATCGAATTTTAAATATATCACTTCTTTTAAAGTAATAGCTCATAGGGTTCATTTGCGACAAAAAAAAGTGGTGATCGAGTGGCTACTTTGAATTAATATTCTGTGGTCGGTGGTTAATTTTACCTAATATTAGAGGGGAGGGAAAAGTTCATGAAAATTCGACAAGGGGGGGGGCGGGAGAGGTAACAAGAAGTGTGACATCACAGATTTTGGTTAAAATAAAAACATTTAAAATCAGTGGATTGAATATTTTTATATTATTAATTTTTTATAATTATTTTAATTAAATAAGTGCATACAGTCATTATAATCAGCTCCAAAATGCCATTAAAACGGATAGTTTAAAAATAAAATTTGAAATATGATCTATAACGTCATGATTTACTTCTTAAATTTAAGTAGGATTATGTTTATATAATTGAATGTGACGAGCGTCAAGGGGGTATCGTGAAGTGTGACACTTTGTAACAGAGAAAAGAGTCAAAAATATTGGGGGGGGGGGAAGAGTGTGATATTATTTAGACTGCCATTCAAGGGAATGTAATTTTATTATTTAAATTAAGAAGTCAATTTAAGAAGTCCAGAGTTTTGACCTCAGAAAGAAAACACTGCTGAAGAATATTTTCATCTTAACTTTTAATAAAATGAATTAAAACGTATATCTGACTTTGTATAAAGTTACATCTCATATTTGAATTTTATCCTTAAATTAGATTACTACAGTAAAAGTCACAGTTAAAGTAAAAAAGAAGGCGCGACTTTTTTACGTAAGCATGGGATAGTATTACAGTTAGTGAAAGTGAAATTCAAACATTACATATGTTTATGAATTCAAATATTATGTAATTGTAATATTAATTGTTTGAAACATTGAACAAATTTTTGCATGGTTTTGTAACAACACTGACACTTAAACTGCAACGTAGAACAGAGTGCGTAGTGTTCTTAAAAAGTGCTTATTTTTGATTACCGTTTTTAAAAGTCCTTAAAGGTGCTTTTTTTATGGGGGGCTTGTAAGTGCTTAGTTTTCTATGTTTCAAAACAATATTTTTTCTTTGAAATGTCTATTGTCGTCAGAAATTACAAAAAAAGCATGATTTTCACAATTTTCTCTGCAATATTTATCAGAAATTACTTATTTTAGAAAATGTTTTTGCATTTTGTTGATTTTATGTTCATAAATTTAGATCTTTAAGCAGTAGAAAGAAATAATTTTTATTACTGCATAAATCCTAATTATGATTTTTGTTTTGTAAAGTGACTAAAAATATGTTTTGAGTGCTTAAAAAGTACTTAAGAGGTACTTATTTACTGTCGAAAAATCTGGCTGCGCGCGCTGGTAGAAATTCTTCGCCCGGCTTATTAAATGTGTTATACCCATTTCATTTTTATTTTTTACCGTAGTGTATGAGTTATAGGGGGAAAAAAATAAATACATGTTCTTTAAATAGAAGCAAGCTGAGTGCATATTTATCTGGGAAAACTTCTAGATTGCAAACATGGTTAAAAGCGATTAATAGATAAAATTATGAGTTCTCGTGGAAGCAACAGCAACTACCGAAATGTCTCAGGAAGCTGATACGTATATATTCTCTCATAATAAATTATTTAGAGTTCGCTGTCATACCGACAGAACTTTGACGGGACTTATTCTAGAACGTTGCACCATGAAACGTCAAAACTGAAATACGTAGGCGTTTTTTTTTCGTGACGAAATCGAAAGGGGAGATTTTCGATGGTGCGCCCTTCCTCTCTAGAAATTAGGAAGAGCAAAAAATATCTTGGGTAACTTAAAAGGAGCCTTTGATGGAACCCTGGGAGAAGAGTCGCCCTTAGCAGGAAGCAGGGCGATTCATTGTCACGGGGCGCCGCGGGCACACCAGACCTTGATAATTCTTTTTTTGTTTTTTGTTTCTGTCTATTTCTTTAATTTTTGGACAAGTTCCCAGACAACGTCAGGATCTTACCGTGGGTAGGGCAATATTTAATGGTTCGCGTCAGCGTAACCAGCGTCTACGGTTGCGGTTTTAATATAGACTTGATTCTGTTTTATAAAGGAAGAAAAAAATGCTGATCATTATATTTAGCATAAACAACGTATTCAAGATTCATTTCAACATAAATTATATGATTAATATATAATAAATCAAATTCAAGGCCGGTCCAAGTATCTTTGCCGGTCCTAGGAGAGCAATATATAGATAATTCAA